CCTGAGGATGCGGGTGCCCTAGCTCTCGAGAAGATGAGAAGCCAACATCCCGCTCTCCTGAAATATCACTGATGGGTGCAGTCTGGGACGATAGAACCGTCGTGAGATCTGCTCTCTCTAACGCAAAAGTTCTCGTATTCGCTACCTGTGGGTATCTGGACCAATGGTGATGCATCATCTTGAAGGGCCGCCCAGGTAGAGGTGGGCAGGTGATAACTGTGGTGAGAGCTGAGTTGTCAGAAGACCAAGCTAGCTCTCGATCTGGGTGGCAGGTCCAGGGGTGCTCATGACATCATTAAAACAAACTTAGAGGTGTGGTCACAGTCGCAGAGACAACATGGGCCCCACATCGACAGATGAGGGAAGGTGTCCTGAACCACGGATCACGATTAACTCAATTCTGTGCTCTCTGAGATCCTGAGATACAAATTTAAAAAGAAGAAATCATAATGGAAACTAGAAAACATAACCGAATAGTAACTAAGATGTTATATTCAAAACTCACAGGGCACCCCAGTAGTGGTAAGTTTTCCATGAGAGGAAAACCAATGGCCTTAAAGCCTGAACGGCAGGGACACCAAGGTCCCACCCATGGAGTAGAAATAGAACAGCAGCGTAAGCCTGAATGAAGCAGAAGAAACAAAATCACAAAGATCAGAAAGCAAAAAACAAAGCAAAGGAACTTAGAGGAGAAGGAGCCAAAGGGCAGGGGCAGGAGGAAGAAAGCGCCTCTGGTGGCCAGAGGGCCCAGAGACGTCGCAGGCAGCAGTCAGCCCGCCAGAGCCACGAGCCCACGGATGCAGGTTGCGTGGGGTTGGGAGCAAGGCCAGGCTCCCATCGCTGTCCCCTCATTAAAGGGACGCCAGAGAGGGTGAGAACAAACCAGCTTTGTCTGCCCCACAGCCCCAGGGAGGACAGGCTGCGAGCCGGGTAGGTGGAGGCAGGCCAGGCTGTGGCCGCAGCACCCTCCACCTCGGCCTCTCCCATGCTGCCACATGCACCCTCCCCTCCCACCTCCCCTCTGGCCTGAGCTCCCAGTTCAGGACAGACCATGCCGGGAGCCAAGCATGGGCTCCCACACGGACGGCCACGCTGCCAGGTTTCCAGTGAAGGTGGAGGGGGCAGGCAGAGGTCCTCTACTCCGGGAACCCTGAACGTTCTGACTCTCTCTACGAACAGCCAGAATCGCCCAGATCAATCCACCATTGTGACGTTTTCACAGACCTCGACATGCACATGTGTAAGAAGCCTGGAACCTGAATCCCTATAATAAGGTGGATACTTAAAGGCTATTTTCTTTGAAAGACAGGCTTTTTGTTTGCTTTGTTTTATTCTACCGAAGTCTCCAAGAACACCACAAACAACCAAGGCAAGAATATGATAGTGTTTAGCTGGAGGAGGAAATGCAGCTTCAACCGCTGGTCTGAAAACGGCATGCAAGGATCTCAAACTCAGCAGTCATCGTCCAGAGTGTCCCAACTGTCACTCACAGAATCCGAGTCTGACATTTAAAGAGCGGTCCATACGGACTAGCTCTTCTTTCCAACTAATATCTTCAATCTGGATTGAAACTGGAAATTACAACATAGCAAAGGAGATTGCTCCTTCACCCGGAACAGCCTGTTGGAAACTGAGGTTGATTTCACATTCCGGAACCTGCTGTGGTTTTATTATTCCCCTTCGGAACAACATGACAGGACAGTCACTGGGGAGGCCTTACCCACACCCTCCTGCACACCTGGAACCGCCTGATGCACTCTAGTGTCCGCAGCACGTCTGCACCATGAGTGCAGCTTTTCTCTTGGGGAGGGGCTAGCAGGGGAGGGCGGAGATGCTTTGTTAGCAAGAGTTGAAGACCCATCTGAAGTGCCCTAGATTACAAACCCCTCGAGGTTAGGAACCACATTTGTTCAACTCACTTTAACAATGCCCTACACAGCCAGGCTCAGCAGCTCACGCCTATAATTCCACCACTTTGGGAGGCAGAGACAGGAAGATCACTTGAGGCCAGGAGTTTTAGGCTACAGTAAGCTATGATCACACCACTGCACTAAGCCTGGGTGACAGTGTGAGACCCCATCTCTAAAACAGAATAAAATAAAACACAATCCCCTACACAGATTGTATTTACAGTGAGTTTCAAGGTAACGTTCTCACTGACCAGCTGGGCAAAACTCAAGATCCCCTAAGGACTCTCATCTCAGGAACTGCAGGGAGCAGCGGCTTCTGTCTCCTCACCAACACGCAGCCTTGCCACGTTTGCAGACGTCCTCCTACGCCCAAGCCCAGGACTGAGGATAGGGTCAGACAGGCAGACCCACATGCCAGACAGGCAAGGGAGCCCAGTCCGCGCCCCTCCCCAGTTCTTCCGTGCATGGGCGGGGGGTGTTCACAATGTACAGCATCACTCGGCTTCAGTGTCGCCAATATCACAACCAGGAAACCTCCTTTACATGCAATCAAACCCCTAGATACAAGGAAAACCCACTTTCATATTTTGTTCTCTCTAGACACAGAAAAATTAGCAGATGTGTAAAAATGTCTTTTTGGAACCAATGGGATGTGAGTTAGCCTGTCCTCAAATCTATGTAGCTTAAACGCCCTTCCTCATAACTTCATCTTGCCATCGACTTTTGCTCATGTTCTCTGGGCCCTTTTCTCTTTGGCTGTTTTTCTTTCTTTTCTTTTTGTCTTTCTGATAAAGACCAAAAACCCAGGGCAGTGTCTGTGTGTCCCAAACTGAAGCCTGAACAACAGAGAAGCTCTCCCCGGCCTGTGCCCGCCAGTCCCCCTCCCAGACAGACGCTCCGTCAGTCCCCAGCAGGGGAACGGCCTCTCCCGTTACCATGGCAAGGTGGTCTTGCAAAGCCCAAGGCAAACACTGTCTGCTGCTCGAACTTTACCAAAATGTATCTCAGTATTATTTTACCGATGCGTTTTACCTAAACCCTGAGAACAATTTGGGTTTCTAGTGTCAGGGCAAGGCTCCTTGCTCACACTTTTGTTCGGTCACCCTTCTCTGCCACACCATGGAGCCGAGGTCAGACACCCAATCCAGTGGGCCCTTCCTCTCTCAGCACGCCGTCCCCGTCACTCTGAGCCACCCCTGCCACCTCCCCATCCACTGACGTCGCCGGAGACTGACTCGGACAGGTATCCGCCCCACTCTTGTCTCCTCCTGCCCCAAGGTCAAAGGGCATTTCAAGGCCCCACTTTCACTGTCCCCCGTGGTGAACTCACAGTGAGACCCGGCCACTGCTGTCAGGTGGCTCCTGGGACCGCAGCGCTCCCTGTTCCACGAGCACCGACCCCGCACCTCCTCCTGCACCTCCCACACCCTGTGGATGTTCTTCCTGCCCTGCCGTGAGCAAAGGAAGCTATGAAGGAGACAGTGGAGAAAAAGGGGTGACCCAGCATTTCCTCTTTTCTTTCAGCCCAAGATGGAAACGGTGGCCCCGTGCAGACCTGCATGTTGGGGAGATCTTAAAATACTGTGAGGACAGGGGTGTAATCTGCTGGCCACAAACTCAAATCTTGCTGCCACCGTTGTCAGTAGAGAGTAACACAAGATTACTGTAAAACATTTCAGAAAAAACAACCTTAAACAGAAGAAAAGAAAATTGCCATAATCCCATCACCCAAAGGCCATAAAAAGCAGTCTTCAGTGCCGCGGGTCCAGTTGTCTTGGTGGAAACTGTCTTTGGGTGGGAAAATGTTGGGTGGGTCATCTGAGTATGAAAACATGAGCCCAGAGAACGGGGGAAGGCTGAACGTTCTGTGTACGAAAACTGGGGAAATCTGAGATGTTTAGTCTAAGAAGAAAAGGGCAAGAGCAGGGATGAAAGCACCTGAGGCAGCAGGACAGGAAGCTGCGCCCGGTGGGCCGAGTGTCAGGGCTGTTTCACCTGCCGTCCCGCCTGTCTGCACACGCAGGCACATACCCCCCAAAACTTCCCCGCATTGAGACCTCGACCGAGGGTCCTGGGAGTCAAGGACAAGAGCTGAGTTGCCGAGAGCCGAGAAGCCGGTTCCCGTGTGGACTCATTCAGGGAGCACAGCCGGCCAGGCTGACGGGGAGCAGCCAGCTCCCGCCCCCAGCAATGCGGGAGCCCTGGGAGCCCTGCCAGCCCCGCAGAGCACAGACGCGCTACAGTTTACTTTAAAGTAGTAAAAGGACGATCCGCAGTTAAGTATCGACTGTGTAAGCAGTTTCATGTTCTCTCTTCCCCCACTGCGATCTTTGTCCTGTCAGTAAGAATTCTTCGTGAACATTGGGGGATGCCCTCCTGGAGACCTCCCGGTTTTCGTCACTATGACTCCACTGGCACGTGACGACTTGCTTCTAATTTCCACCCTAGTAAACACCTGAAGCGTCTTCGTATACAAATCGTTCTCAGAGACACCCAGAAGTGAAATTCAGGCATCAAGGCGGAGCATTTTTACAGTTCTTGTTACATAACACAAAACCATACCGTTTGTGCTGCGTATCACAGCATGGCACCCACTTACACCTTCCAAAACGCTGAGTATCTACATGTTTCAAAAACATTATTAATTTGAGTTTTAACAGAATCTCACTAACTTAATCCGTATTTGATGACGAATGATTTAAATTTTTAGAAAAGTTCATTTCTTGCTCTCACATCCATACCTCTCACTTGCCCTTTGCCTGTTTACCAACTTTGTGTTTTCTTACCAACTTTTATGAATTATTTCTATTTAAGGTTATTAATCCTTTAAGCATATTTGCCAACATTGACCTAGTTTATCTTCATTTCTTTATGTTATTCTCTGCTGAGAAATTTTACATTTTTACATAATCTTATTTATCATTAACTAAGTGCTACAGCAATTAAACAGCAACAACCCATCAACCTTAACTTTTAAGTATGATCATAACGTATTAGAAAAATGATTTAAGAACCATACTAAAATATACAAGCATTTAATTATTCAACCAACATTTATATACATTATAAACAAAAGAAAGAGTTACTTACTGAATCCAAAAAGCACAGGTAAGACCCTGAGCTCTGTGCTATTGCTTGATTTTTAGAATATCCAACTGTTAAAAAAAGAAAAGAAAAACTCTTATGATTCAATTTCCAACAGCATTCTCTTTCACAAAGCTTTGTACACCATACGCCATAGAAGCAAGCTGGGAAGCCCTGCACAAAAGCTGGGGTCAGCTTCAAAGGGACGACAGGGAAGCCTGTGGGAGGCGATGGTCAGGAGCACAGCGGCAGGCGGGCACGTCCAGCCGGCACTGTCTACAGCAGGAGACGCTCCTCGGAGAGAACAAATTCAGTGAACGCTTCCTGAGGACAGCACTAAGCTAAGACCTGGGGATATGTTTTAAAACACAGAAGTGAAATTAAAAGGATGCCTGTAAAGTCTCTGCGGGGGGAGCCGGGACCTGGTGAGGGGGGAAGCGGGTGGCTTGCGCACGCATGACCGGTCGGCAGAGCTCACTGCGCTGGACGCTTGATGGCCGGGTACCTCAATATGTATTTCCATGATGAGCTGAAGCCACTGCCAGCACCGACCACACGGGGGTAGGTGCGCATCCCGGGACCGGCCCTGGTCATACAACGCTGCTCCGTGAGGCCCAGTGGAACTGCGTCCGCACAGCCCCCAAGAGCGGCACCCATCGCGACAACCCCAAGCCGGGAGCTGCCCAAGTGCAGATGGAAAAGCTGGAAATACGGCACAGCGAGAACGCACACACCGGGCTGCCTACCGCACGGTGACTCGCACGTGACTTCTGAGCGAAGAAGCCAGGCACCGAGGAGTAGAGAGGGGTGGGGACTCTGGCGCGGGGCACAAGACTGGCCACGATTCCCCTGCGCTGCCCTGTGGAGGGGAGGGTGTGGCCGCAGGCCCAAGGGGCTTCCAGGGGCTGGTGACGTCCTGTTTCTTCATCGGGGTGCTGATTACACAGTGTGTTCAGTCTGCGAGCCCTAATCCAGTTGTGCGACTAAAATAAGTACACTTTTCTGGATGGATAATGGATATCTATTACACTTTGGCAAAAGCTTCAAAACATCCTTGCCTTCAAAGACACTACAACTGAGCCGGAAAAAAGAGTTAAATGGTAACCCACAGTTATGTGCCAAATGAATGGTGCCCCAGAAAGTACTAAGGAGATTAAAAGAAGACAAAATTACCGACAAGGGAGATGCAGAGCGAACATGAGGCTGTTGGAATTTGAACTGAGAATGGAACTGTCGCAGAGGGTGACGGACAGTCCCAGTCGTGCATCCAGGGAGCTGGGCAGAAGCCAGCTCCTGCAGGCATTGCTGGGCTCAGCAGGGGCAGCTGGAAGGTTTCCGAGCAAGGAGCAGCACCCAGACATCAGCACTCACGAGCCCAGCCTGGCTGCTGGTGCCAGGGTAGGTTGGGGGGCATCAGCCCAAAGCAAGGGTGCTATGGGGGTTTTGAGGGGCAAGATACCACCTTCCCTAGAAAAGGGGTTGCCAACACCTGAATCATGTTAGCAGATGGTTACAGATTTGATGCCATCAAGAAAAGCCACACAAAGAAAAACAGATGTGTGCAGAGTTAAAGCAATAAATCTCTCTGGTGTTCAAAGGCAAGACAAGCTGGAGAAAGTTGTTGGACCAAGGGGACACCGGCCAAGTGTGCGTTTCAGCCGTATCCACGGCACCCCCCGGTTTTCTGCTACAGGAAGGAAGAGAAGGGTTCCTGCCCCACAGGGTCTGTCCTGTCCTGGGTGGTGCTCAAGCAGGCTCACCCCACGGCGATGCTGCAGTGGAGACATGAGAGGCAGAAAGTCTCCAACCCTCATTCTGCTCTGAAAGGATCTGATCTGGGGCAGCGTCCTGCGGGTTGACGGGGGTTCACACAAGGTAGCCTGTAATTCCTGGTCCCAGATTTCAAAGAACCACAGGTATTAACAAGGGCAAAGGACGAAATGCACCCGGGGAGGCCGAGTGCCTGGCTGCTCACCCCTGGGGACTGGGATTAGTGGCCAGGGCCAAAACAGCTGTAGCTAAACCCCACCCTAACTGCAAAGCGAGGTGAGCAGAGAGAAAAGCCTCATAACAACCACAACCAAAGAGCTGTTTGAGAAAAATGAAAATGAGAAGAGACTTTCCACAATCACACTGAATTTAATAAGAGTTCTGTTCAAAAAGCTGCTTACTAGATTCAGGTTTTAGGAGAGAAATTGAATCCATGAATTTGGGCAGTGAAGGAAGATGCATCTCACTAAGGAGGCCAGAAGCTTCTCAAGATGAATCTTCTGTTTGGCAAAGACAAGGGATTTGTTTTAGTATCACTGCCTAGATGAAAGTCAAGCGTCTGTGCCCGGTCATGTTTGGGGAGGCCGGTCCCTTTGTGAGGGAGTTGGTTGCCACGGTCACAGCAGGAAGACTGCACCTCGGGAGAGGTCGGCACCCCTTACTCTAGGAGGGAAGGGCAGGATGCTGCTTTGTTTCGGTTTCAGCAAGTGACCGCACTGTTAAGAAATGTTTTGCTCTGTTGTGGTATGAAATCATAGTAAGTGAATCTTAATCCATTTTAAATACGTAACACTTTTGAAAATAGATACTTTGGATCTATGTTATCTAACAGTCAATAAAACTTTTCCTATTTAAGGAACTATGATGATAGGAAAGTACGTCCTTTCAGATACAACCAAACTGACTCCGTTTTATTAACGTGTAGTATGGACCCCATGAATCCTCCTCACCCACGCTCCTCACAGACAGTGGGATGACGTCATGTCACCTGGTCCTTCACAATTCCACAGCTGTCACCGACATAATTCACACAAATGTGATGCAGATCCAGTTATAGCTAATTGATAAAAAGTATTTTATGAAAGACAAAGCTTGTTTTTAAAATGGAGATGAGTCAAGGAGTGTCACAGCACTCATCAGTTTGTTTTCAGTCAACTACGGAAGATGCAAGACATCTTTTAAATTAAATAACATGAAAGGGTGGTTCTAGTAGTCTCAAAAACCAGTCGGTTTACACACATTTCAGAAGCAAGTTGAAACAGATGTTCTGCAATAACCAATTTATAAAGAGGTTTCTGTTTCAAACACACTAAAGATATGAAAACAAGAAATAATTTGAGGAGAAATATTAACATCTTCCAATCGTGTGAGATGACGATGCTGATGAGGATGACCACAGCGAACCAGCTGCTAACACCGCCGGAGGGCCGCCTGCTCGCGCCCGTTCCAAACATCCCGTAGCTCATTCCACACCCTCATGACACCCCAAGACAGGTGCCTACTGCTATGGTCATTTCGCAAGGAAGGAAACTGAGGCACGTGAGCTGGCAGTGGCACAGACCCTGGCAGCCTGGCTCCAGAGCCCTCCCTTAGGCACCTGCTCCACACCTGCGACCCGTCCTGCAGGAGAAAAGCTCACATCCACTGAGACACATTTCATGTGTGGCTACGCTGGCAACATCAAGCCAAAAAGTCTTTCAATGTGAACTTTTAAAAATAATAGATGTTTCTTCTTTTAAAGGACCAACTTTAAAAAATTACCTTGACTTAGATTTTTTTCTTAAATATTTTATATGCTTTTTTGCTTTCTTAAACACGGTACCCTGGGTACTAACTGTTAGGAATGTGATGGGAACAGGGTGGGGAGCGTATTTCGAAACAAGGTTCTGTTTCATTCTCTGAAGCCCAACTGAGCTGCAACTCGCTTCAACCAATATCCACCCTCTACTTGGCCAAAAAAAAAAAAAAAATGAAATAAATATTGGCAGGAGGCTGCAAAAGGCAAAGGCATCCACTCTCGGGTGCTCTCAGGTTGGGAGGACATGCCTTTTAACCTGCTTTCAGGAAGCAGCAAAACTGTCTTACAAGAGCCAATGTTCAGAAAGGTTCACGCACGTTGCAGGGTGGCCACCAGGAACTCGGAGAAAGGCAGCCTGGGCTCAGACCCCACCTCTGCTCCAGCCAGGTATGTTAAACTTGAGTGAATCAACTAATATCCTTCGTGGGACCAGGACAGCCCCTGTCCCCAGGGACAGAGAGGAGAACTACGTGAGCTCACAGGAGGCAACAAACTCGCCCAGGACCCGTGAGTGGCTGAGGTGCTGCTGCCTCTGATCACCCAACAGCACAAAAAATGGAAGGGAGGAAGGAGAATGCACAGAGACCACGTGTCCAGGAAGAACAGGAACTGTCTCTCCCACTCATTCCTCTCTCCTGAGAGCCATACCCTGAATGCACCGAATCTACCCTGCAATCCCCACAGACCCCCAGTCCACACACTCTACCGGGAAATATCAGAGAAGTTGCTGAGAGTCATGTGTCGGATCTGAACAGGACCCAGCAGCAGCCCTAATACTCTCACACGGGGCATTCCAGAGGGACCCCAAACCTCCAGCCTGCCACCCCTGAAATACACTGGAGCAATGAGATTCTTTCAGGAGAAGTCTGTTAGAAGGTGGGGTGAAGCTACACCACTCCTAAGGATATTTTAAGGCAGTAGCTCTTGACCCTGGATATGCCTCAGACCCTCGTGGGAAGCTTTAAAATCCCGATGCCCAGACTGCACCCCAGACCAAGTACACGAGAATATCTTCAGGCGGGATTCAGGCATCAGGTTTTTTAAAGCTGCCCGGATGATTCTAACTTGCAACCAAAGTTGAGGACATTATTTTAAATAAAGACATGACCCCTACAATCTACAGGTAGCTGTCCATCGGTGAAGGTTTGTCACCTGCCCCACCTCCACCTCTTCAACCCCACGCAGTATATGGAGGAATGTTTTTTTCAAGTCTTCTATGAAAACTTTTAAGTCAAACTAAGGGGACACCAATCTCTTACACTTAAAGCTAGAATACAAAGCTAATCATTCAATATAAAAACAGAACGAATGAAAAACCATAACACTTGACACAGCATTATGAAATTTCGAAATTCAAAAGCATAAAAAGAAAAATCTCAAACACTTTCAGAAAAGAAACCTTTTAATAACAAGAGTCAGACTGACAGGAGATTTCTTATGCAAAACATGGGACACTAAAAGATAATGAGGCAATCCCTTTAAAATTCTAAGAAAAAATTGTTT